ACCAACACACAATGAATGCATGGGACTGGGACATAGCGGTATGTCGGATTGCAGGAAATGCGCAATTTGGCAGGTTTCTACGATAACTTGTTGCCGAGAGAATTACCGTAAATATCCGTATCTTATACAAGACGATACGAAGGCGAGTACGGAATTTCGGCAGTCCTGCACTGTCGCAGTTGTTTTTTTTTTACGGAGGGAGTAGATAATGATGGAGGGACAAATACGGAACTGGCAGAAAGTACGGATTTCCGTAAAAATACGGAAGAGTGGAAGCACTGTATAAATAACAATAAAAATAATGCTTTCCCAGTTAATAATACACATACATGAGCATGCACCTACACAAACACGCGTGCACACATGCAGGCACACACACACACACACAACTCCGTCGCCACATCCCCCCCTCCCCCCATAAACAGTTCCAGCACATTGCCGAGAGTCAAAAAATCTACACACAGATGTATGCATATGGCGTTTAGCTTCGTTGACAGACAATCAGCAGCACGCATGATACAGCTTTGCCTGGGTGGTAGTCATAAAGGAAGTAGATTTGTCAAGTGTTACTTCCCTCTCTTCAGATTTTTACCTCCTTCATGATCTGATATGCTCCAAAGGGGAGACACAGTCAATTTATTTATTTTTAAAAAATGTTTTGGTTAGTATTTTACAGCGCTCGCAACAGCATAAAGTCATACAGTGGAAACCTGTTATAACGAGAGGGAGGGGACCGGAGCAAAATGTCCGTTATAGCAGGATTCTTGCTATAAGGGATCCAGCAATAAATTCAAGGGAAACTGTAAAGTAGGCCTAATCTATGATTTTGGTGTTTTATTTATTTCCTTTTGATATCTCCCCTGATGATGATTTTGTTTCAACATGACCTTTAGGTCTTACTTGATCAAAAATCGAATCAGGTTTCTTTCTCTAGCGCTAGATCTAGTGATGTTGACTGACAGCTCGGCGTTGGCGATCAGAAAAAAAGGGCTGTGGGCTAACTCACCCGCTGTGTTTCCCCCCACCCCACCACACCCTGAGGTGCATTCCGTCAGCTTGTGCACATCACTCATTTGCTCCACCCATCACATTGCTGTGACCTCTCCATCCCCGCATCGGAGAAGTGAGAGGCATGGTAGGCCTTAATAATCTAAACTAGGCTTACACTGGCCTATCATGCGATGTGTTCTGCTTGTCTGCGTATGCCACACCCTCCCTACTCAGTCGCTCTGGCCTTCATTGTTGACACACATGGGCTCTCCCATTCTTAGTTTCGCTAGATCACCAACAAGTTTCTCAACTGGCGAGGTTTTACATTATGTATAATTGGTATAATCACTGTGCGCAGAAGCAATATTCCGTTATAACCGACTCGCATGTTTGTCTGATAGCGCTATAGCAGTATTTTATTTACAAAGGTAAAGAAGAGAAAAAAAACCGGGGTTTTAGAATAGTGTCTTTATAACAGACTCCTTTTTTTTTTCGTACTCGTTATAAGTGGACTCCACTGTAATGAGCGTGCGGATCCCATTAAACATTTTCAGTTGGTAAGAAATTTTGAACTTTGGCCGGGAGGTGGCTGGAGCCTACTCTTATTGATTTTGGACCACTAAGGGACCTTTAGTGACAGTTTTGTCGCACTTCAAGACACACTTGACCAGGGTCATCTTGAACAGAGAAGAATGTCTCTGTGTTTCTGCAGAGGCGTTGTATCCCTCTCAGCCTGGATTAGTTCAGACAGGCAGGGTCAATGCTCGCCCTCTAAATGATCTCAATTGTGTCAATGGGGGCAAAATAACGCTAACATTAAAAAATTATTTTTTTACATTTTTAATTATTCTTTAAAATGGTCTTAACCATGTAGGAGAAATGCAAACCCTGGACATCATCAAACCAACACATTGAGCACGCTACCTTCTCCACTTGACCAGCTCCAACAGCTTCTATGGCCTTCATCTTGCTGTCAGGCAGAGCTGGCTGGAATGTCACAACCCCTGAGTTGAGTACAGCCAGAGGGAGGGAAAGAATTACCTGTGGAAGTTTTGGGGGGTAAACAGAAGAACAATGATGAAATAATGGTTATCTAAGTACAAGAAAAAAAACTAAGGCAAATAGACAGAAACAACTGAGGCAAAGAAGAAAAAAAAAAGGAAGACCTACCAAAGGTGCCCTTCAACCACCTGCCCTGGAGAACATGTGTGATGAGTAGGCCTATTTGATTCTTTTCTTTTTTGACATAAGAACAAAAAAACATTATAATTTGTAAGCTACTAAATTACAATCTCTTATCAGAAATTTTCTATAAATAAAGCTGGCTCTAAATCGGCCACCAATAAAAATGACAACAAATTGGAAACAATAGATTTGAGACATGGCAGTTGTGTGACTGTAAATGCTTTACGCTCCTTGTGACACATTTTAGATGAGTTGGAGGTAAGAGGCCGCTCCGTTGTGGTTTCCTCCTTCTTTCCTATCAAATATCTATCGTCCTTTTCTCTCCTCCTTCTTTTTTGTGGTTTGTTACTATCTTGTGGCACTTGTAATTTTCGGCACTGCTAGGACCTTATTACTTTGCAAGTGCCGTAACACACTTACTAAAACAAATTTTTAAAAACAATTTAGATTATTTAGGAGTAGGGTTGCTTCATCCCTGGCAATCAGGACGAACCTCAGCTGGGTGGGATACATACAAAGTCCCAGTAGATAGACAGAGACACACAGTAATGTACAAAGCCCCGGTAGACAGACAGAGGTACACAATAATGAAACTTCCCTACATGGGAACCAGACTCATGTCTTATGTGCCCAACAGCAAAGAATCTAATCATTATGCCAAGCTAAGCACTACGAAAACAGTTTCTAATTTTAGCATTAGGAAGAAGTAATGTACATGTAAGTAGTTTTATTTCAGCTTCTGGACAGACATTACACACCCTCTATTGTCCCATACAATGTTCTTAATTAAGAACTGTCATTTTAGAATCAGTTCTTACAAATAATTTTGTTTATAAATAAATAGCAAGAAAAAAAGAAATACACTAAGGCACACTAAGGAAGAAACCAACCATCTGCGCCGAGAAGTTCTGTCCAGACTCTGTAGTTACTGTCACTTCACTGCCCGTGTAGTCGATTCCTGTGACCTGCCCGGAACAATAAGAAATCACAACAATTAGTTGACTTGCTAGAAAAACAAAAGGCACTCAAGGACTCACTCTCTCATTCAAGAAGGAAGAGTGTAACATATAGGGCACTTGAGAATTACTCATTCAATACACATCTTTGCTTTAACAAAAAAATAATTGACAGTACAATCATAGCTATCACTCAATGTTCACATAAATAGCAATATCAAGAAAATATGGAGGATGAAAGACTGCAGCCATTGTAAAGTCATAGTTAAAGTTAAAGGCGACAAAGAATGAACAAGAATTTCTTCACAGATTATGACAACAGTAAAATCATGATGTGAACTTTTAAAGTCTGCACGACCCCAACAGGCACTATCCGGTAACAGCAGACAATAATATGCATGCTGTATCACCATACATTCTTTTTTCTGAAATAGTGACGCATCTGGCTAATTATTTCAACATGTATCAGATTATGCCGGGTGTAGTGAGTGCAAGGAAAAGACAATGAGGCAGGGCCACAATGGCCCCATTTCCCCGGGAACAGATTAGGACAAGAGATGTTTAATAAAAAAAAGAAGAGACAACAGACAATATAAGAGCACCAATCACCACACACTAGACAGAATTTGACAAAAATTTTACTTTCAGTTTTAGTCAACAGTTTTACGGAACTTGAAACACAAATAGGTTATTAAAGTTCTGAAGATTAGGTGCTTCTAGAGAGTAACATACAAAGAAAAGAGGGAGAGATAAGCACAGTAGATGTCTGATAGGACAGAAGGAGCAAACTACATCAGACCACCTGCAACCACTCACAACAAAGACTCTTCCACACAGACAGCAAATCACCTGAGTATTTAACCTGACGTCCAAGCCGTCTGCAAATTTCTTCAAAATGGAACCAAACCCACTGGCCACGTGGGTACGGGCTCCTGCAAACTGTGGCATCTCCTCATTTTGATCCCACCGGAGGGAGGAGAGTTGGTCGAGGGAACAGCCACAGGCAAACTCCAGGTTGCTCAGGTGGAATTCCATCACTTGCTCTTCCTCCTGCGAAAAGACACCCTTTACATGCGGGCCAGGTTCAAGAAAAGGGGAGTGAACCACAAAAGCAAAGCACGAAGAAAGCACTGTTGATTGTTGCTCTTGTTATTCTAAGTGCTTTACACTCTCAGCATAAGGGCGATAGATATTTGATTACAAAGAAGGATAAACCACAACAGAGCACCCGCAAACCACCCACAAGCACTGTCTGGGAAACAGAGAAGACTTGTAAAACATTGAGCTGTAACTTTGAGAAGCTGTAACTTTGAGACCAGTCTCCATGATGACAAAAACTGCATGATAACAAACACAACCTTTCAAGTAACAGATCAAATGTGACACAACACTGTGGGATCAGGCGCTTGTCAATTTTTGGGTATATGGAGTTATTGGTATAATCTAAAAGCTGGTTCATTTGTTTCGCTAAAGATTTTTAAAAAATACTCATCTAGTTTGAATCGAAGTCAAGATGTTTGAGATTGAAGGAGGTGGAGGTCACCTGATGTCAGAGGTGACATTAGTGAGAAAATGGCCACAAAAGTTTGGAGACTTCTGAAGCTTAAAAGTATCCCTGGAAACTGAAATTTAACGTGTGGGGGGGGGTTGCCTGTAATAAAAAATTTTCCATAAAAGGTGTTGAGCCCCGTCCCGTGAAAAAATCTAGAAAAATGATCCCATCGGGCGAAATATGCTGGTTTCTTCGATTTCATTATTTTGCTAAGTGCCTGATTTCATCATGATGCCTCACGAATAGAAATAAACAATGCCTAGCAAAATTAAGCAGCTGCACAGCATAACAATGCACATTCACACTCAAATACAGAACCAGATTCAGATAAGAAAAACACAGAAAAAAAATACCAAAAAAAAAAAAACCCAGCAGAGTCAAACCACACCAACATGCTTTATAAAAATATTCCCACTCTTCATTGGCATAACAAACAAGTATTAAAAGTTATTCAGAGGCGCACGTCCTCATAAAAAATATATAAACAAAGCACCAAGAACTTTGCAGGAACAAAACTAACTTCAGAATACAAAGACTTACGTGTGTAAAGAAGCCCTGTGTTTCAGAAATAAACTGCTGGTGGAACTCCTTGAATTTTGCTGAAAAATCAAGCGAAAACAACGATAATGAAACCTTACAGTGGCGAGCCCGCTTTTTAAAGAAAAGGATTCTGGAGAAAAAGAGGGTGAAATGATACTCCCTATTTCAGCATTCCCCACTATTGGTCTCATCGAGGGTCAACTCACAGACAAATGATGTCAGGCAATTTATTATATTTATGAGGTTCATCTCCCAAATTTACCTCTTGTCTGCGGAGTAGCAGTTAGGATCTTTGTCATCTCATGCAGAAGACCCGAGTAAATTTTATGAGTGGGGAGAACTTTTATCGAGTACCTCCATCTTTCTGTTGAAACTTTGTATCCCTCTCAGCCTGAGTTGGTCCTAACAGACAGGGTTAAACCTCGCCTCCTAAATGATCTGCATTGCGTCAATGGGGTCATCAAAACGGGTAATGACAAATATATTTCCTTTTACAGAAAAAGAAAAATATATCTGCCCTGCAGTTAAGAAACATCTCAGCTACAACTTTAAAAAGAAAACGACAAAAAAAATCATTTCACTTCACTCTTTGAAAGGTATGTTCAGCTGTTTCATTCCTAACACAAAGGTAGAATAAACAAGGAAAAATATTGGACATCATTGTTTCTTTTGGTGCAATAACTATTGTGCTTCGCCATTTTAAAAAAACAACTAAAGAAAATATAGGAAAAAATGTACGCAAGCTGTTCAAATGTTCCAAGCCCAAAGAGTGAGAGTATCCAGGTGAGTGAAAAAACTGTTTCAGTCTTTTAACAATTTTGTTTTAACATTATGTAACTTTCTTACTTTTTTTTTCACTATTTAAAATCTGAATTAGGACAAAATGTTTCTCATGCAAATGCAGCCCACATCATAGACTTTTTTAAAAATTTCCACAATTTTGAGCTAAGCACATAATATACTAGCTATATTAATATTATCTAAACAGCTGACCAACAATATATAAGCAAATGACACCAGAATGTCCAAATCAGACTTACTTAAATACCACATTGAGTTTTGTTTCAGCAAAGAGAAGCACATAATATACTAGCTATAATATTATCTCAACAGTTGACCAACAATACATAAGCAAATGACACCAGAGTGTCCAATAACAACTTACTTAAATACCACATTGAGTTTTGTTTCAGCAAAGAGAAGCACACCAACAAAACAGACACTGCCATTAAGTTTTAGTGAAAGGAAAAGGCAAGAGAGACAGACCAAGACCTAGCTAAACACAAATACGTCATTTCAAAGGCTGGTTCCACATTAGAGGAATCTTTGTTATATTTCATAGCCCTCACTCCTCAGGTCAACAGATCAGTACAAATGAGAAGAAGACAAAAGAAATTGTAAAAACACAAAAATGATATCCCACATATGTCAAAAAGTTTTAAGTCTCCCTACTGGGGGGAGAGAGGGAGGGGGAGAGGGGTAGCAGCATACTATTCATATCCCCAACCCTGCTCAGGACAATAATTCTTTAGCGTTCAGAAAAAGCATGAGAATAGACAGAGAGCCAGTTGTCACAATGCACCTACTCAGAAGGTCAACATCTGCCTTATCCTCTCTGCCCTTCCTCCACTCCGCGATGATGTCAAGAATTGCGTTATAGTGAAACTCAATTCTGCGGTCGAGGGAATCCTCAATGACATTTCCATCCTCTGTGATCAGTCGACAGTCATCGTTCGGTTGCTCAAGGTCAATGCCAGCCTGACAGCAGCATAGAGAGAGAGAGGGAGAGAGAGAGAATAAGAGAGAGAGAAAGAGATGAAGAAAGAGAGAAAGAGAGACAGAGAGAAAGAGAGAGCAAGATGGAGAGAGAGACAGAGAGGGCCGGAGGGACAGACAAAGAGAGAGAGAGAGAGAGAAAAAGGAGAGCAAAAGGAGAGAGAGAGCAAAAGGAGAACAAAAGGAGAGAGAAAGAGAGAGAGAGAGAGAGAGAGAGAGAGAGAGAGAGAGAGTGAGAGAGAAAGAGAGAGAGAGAGAGAAAGTGAAAATGAATTGAAGGTTAAACACTATATTGAATTGAAGCAAGAATTTTCATCTAAAGTGGTGGAAACAGACTGTTCGTCAAGTAAAAACCAGTTTATAAAAACAGATTTTTCAAAGGGTAACATATTAATATAGCACATCTCCATTCGGTAAATGCTCCATGAGCTTTATTACAGAGATTATACATGATACAAATATATGCATATGAATAGCCAAAAAATACACTGAAATCAGGTGGCAAAGGTAAAAGAATCTGCAATAAACAAACTTGAGATCTTGATTTGAGTTCAACAGCTTGGGCAAAGAGAAGCACACTGACACAACAGCCACCATTTAGTATGAGGAACTGAAAGACAGACTGACCGGAACAAAAGAAGTGTAGTTCAGAGGTAAAAACTACAAGTGGAGCCTTCCATCCACCTGCAAGAGACCTTGACGAAGAGTATAATTTTTTCAAAATCTAAAATGAACCCGCATCAAACAACTTTTAAACAAAATACAGCATTAACTCACTTGAGCCTATTCCCGTGTATTTATTGGATGCGCTTTATCGATCGATATCTCTGGTGTTTTTCGGTTACAAGTTGCAGGAAGTGGTGAGCCAACAGTTGACCCACTTGTTTCATTTCGTTAAAAATTCGAAGAAGTTATGTGCGATACTTTTTAAACTGTAACAGAATAAGTCAATCACCCCCGCACTGTGATAGATGATTTTATTACAAATTGGGCACCCAAAAAAAATAATTGCGTAATCCCCAGACATTACCATTTCAAAATTTTGATAAAATAAAACTATTCAGACAAATTAGATGCAGTTTTTTTTTCAGAGAGAGAATTTCCTTCTTTTTCTTGTTGCATTTTCTTTATTATGATAGTTTTCAGTCTTTTTGTGGTTAACGCTTCGATATACCCCAAAAGTGTCCGGCTGCAACGGTTGTTGGGTGAAAATTAGCTCTGGCTCAAGAGAGTTGACGTCAAAGGCGATGGACACGTTTCTGACTGTCGTACCTGATAAGCAATGACTGCCACGGGGTTGTTGACGCAACCGTTCAGCCACTGACCACTGAAAGACACGGTGCTGCCCTCTACATCCTGGTCACAGACACGCCCCCCGATGCAGCCCTTAGCTTCTAACACTGTGACCTGGGAAGGGATGTAAAAAGATAAGAATAGAAAATCAAGACTCACGTGGGGCCAAAAGGCCACATGGCAAGAACAAAGGCACGAAAATCAAAGATATCACAACAAAAAAACAAAGGACACAAATCAACATACCAATACAAGCATGCACACCAAACTAGGTCAGTTCTCAAATATTTAAAAGTGCGGAAGTTCCACACTTGACCTAAAACATTTCTGACAAAGACCAAATAAATTCAGAATTTAAGCCAAAAAAAATATGTGGCACGATGCAGTGGAATTAGGCGCTCGTCAATTTTTAGGCATTTTGAGTTATTGGCATCATCTTAAAGTGTGTTCATTTGTCTTGCTTTTGATGAAAAAAAAAACTCATTTATCTTAAATAGAGCTCAAGATAATTACAATTAAAGGAAGTGGAGGTAGCCTGGTTTCAGAGGTAAAATTACTGAGAAAATGGCCGCCAAAGTCTGGTGACTTAAAAGGCTTGAGAGTCTTTGAGAACAGCATATTTATTTCAAAAAAAGAAAATTCGCAAAAGTTTTCCAAAGGACTAGAAAAATGCTGGTTTCTTTGATTACATTATTTTGACGAGCGCCTGATTTCACCATGCTGTCTCACATATGTCAGATGACAGTCCTATGACCTGTCATTGGGAAACTGACCTTGACACCATGTATGCTGAGAAGCCGGGCTGCTGCGAGACCACTGGCACCTGCCCCGACGATCAGAACCGATGATCCCTGGTGCTAGGTAGAGGGCAGAAAACAGAGTGGTGGTAATGAGATTAATGTCAAGAAACAGACAGAGAGAAAGAGAGAAAGAGAGAGCGAGATGGAGAGAGAGACAGAGAGGGCCGGAGGGACAGACAAAGAGAGAGAGAGAGCAAAAGAAGAGAGAGAGAGAGAGAGAGAGAGAGAGAGAGAGAGAGAGAGAGAGAGAGAGAGAGAGAAAGAGAGAGAGAGGGGAAGGGGGTGGGGTAAGCGAAAGGGGGAGGGAGTAGGGAGACAGAATAAGAGACAGGCAGACAGAGAAAAAAAAAAGAGAGAAAGTAGGCATTGCACATCATTCTATAGTATAATGAATTTACAAGTTTTATGTCGCACTAAAAAATATAATATCCTCTGGGCATTTTTTGGGTAGAACCTCAAAAAATAAACTTTCAAAGATTATTAATAATCATCATTATTGCTATCATAAGTAATGATCACACATATGAAACAACCCCGTATAACAAACTGCTTCCTTTTCAAATATACATTTCAAGATAACACAAAAGGTTACATTAGGACGGCTGCAAATCAGAGAAGTCAATGATGATAGCTTATCTGTTGGGTGGAAAAGGAGAAAAATAAATAATTACAGTATATTGCTAACTGGAGAAGTAAATGACTAAAGAGCTTATTTACAGGAGGATGAAATGACAAAAATTTGCTGCCAACTAAAGCTGTAAATGAGAACAATTTGTTGTTGCCAACACGAGAAGCAAAATCTAATGATGACAAATTGCTGCTATCTCAACTAGAGAAGAAAAATAATGAGAACAGTTTGCTGCTAAAGTGGAGAAGAAAAATAATGTTTAAAAACCAGTTTGCTACTAACTAGTTCTGGTAACTGGAGAAGAGAAATAATAAGAATTGTTTGCTAAGGTAGAGAAAAAAACCCAAAAAACAGTTTGCAATGAAAACAGTTTTCCGGTGACTGGAGAAGAGAAATAAATAAAAAACAGTTTGCTGCTAACCAGAGAAGTAAACGGTTCTGTTAAGTTTGCTGGTGGAGTGACCAGTCCCTGGTTGATGAGGTCGTGGTGGGTCAGAAAGGCCAACACTTGCGGCAGCTGCTCCACACAAGACACCCTGGCCAGTCCGCGGCAGATCAGGTACTCCGTACACTTCTCTTTGGTCAGCCACTCCTAGTGAGGACAAAATATCAACAATAATAATAACTATAATAATAATAATTATAATAATAGTAACTATAATAATAGTGATTTGATAATCTTAATAATAAAAACAACAATAATGAGGATTTAATAATTTTAATTATAGGCATAATACTAATGTGGCGTCGGTGGCCTAGTGGTTAGGCTCTCGGTGGAAATGGGTACCCGGCTATAGACAGTGAACGATCTTGTCAGTTTGATAGTGTTTGAGCGCGTGAAATCCGAAGCTTGTACTGTATGCTTCTGCAGAAGCCGAGAATGTTTCTGAGTGTTCTCAGAGAGTTCTTTACTTATTAGTGAATACGAACAAAACTAAATGTTTCAAACAAGAAAATTGCACACAATTTTGTAATATTCGCTATGTGCTTTTTAAAAAATTTTATGTTAATTTTGGATGACGACTCTGAGTCATCACACTCTTGTGTTGCACTTGTGTTCCATTATTCTATTTATAAATGGTATCATCATTTATGCACCAAGCTGTACATACTTTTGGGTTCAGTGTCCACAATGACATGATCAGGTTACGAACTGCCAGATACATATAGGGACATTCTTGGGCCAGCAAGGGGAACGACTCTATCTCCACTTCTGTCATCATGTCTGGCGTAACAGCAAATGCATGAAGAGGATGATCTGCCTTGGGAAAAGGTAGAACGTACGGGCATAACTTCTCTGTGGAGTGGACAAAAAGGGCAGGCTATTTAGGTCAAGATAGGAATTTTGTTCGTGTTTTTGTTGCTTTTTTTTAAAAAAGGAAGCACATTGACACAATAATGGTCATTTAGGGATGGAAAAAGCAAGACAGGCTGCTTGTTTTTAAAGTAAAATGAAGCACACGGATACAATAATGATCCTGTAAAGCTGGGGAAAAACTAGACAGTCAGCAAAAAAGACAGACAGAAACAACAGAAAGTTAGCAAGGAAATAGCATTTACCTGAGGTGGCCTGAAACCACATGAAGACGAAAGTTTTTATTTCAACAAAATTGTGTTCACGGGGTTCCTCACTTAAAAAAACCCACCTGAGGATAAAAAATTCTACCACCTAGGCCATCAGCAAGTAACCAGTCTCTATACTGTGGTTCTTTCAACAACTCAGGCCAACGTCCAGAAATCCTAACTTTTTGCGACTTTGCTGGACACCATGAACCCATTTTTAAAAATGACCTGCCATTTAGTACTTTGTACAAAGCAACCCCCCCCCCCACAACTCTCTCGACCAATACATAAAGACACACACACACTGGCAGATATACACAACACATCCCCCAACCCCACCCAAATAAAAAAAAACAAAAGAAAAACTGGCTTAACATACTTTTCTCAGCCTTAGAGAGAGCAGCAGCATTCTCAGTAGGACTGAGCCCCACACCGTCAGCGTAATAGGCTGTGAGGAACGGAGCCGCCGGCGACTTCTTCAAGTAGGGTGTACACTTGTTCTGAATCAGCCACAGAGGGCTGTGGACAAAGTGGACTCGCTGGGGAGGAGAGCAGCCGGCATGGAGATATAGGATTGTGGTGAAAAAAAAAAAGTAAAATGCTTCTTGCTTATGTACAATTCATACACCACTCTAAAGATAATTGGTTGAAAAGCACATAGAGCATGCTGCTCAGTACGGATATGCACTATATAGATTTAAATGTTATCGTCATTATCATTATCTAATAGATCGTAAAAGTGGAGCTCTGGAGCCACTGATCAAAGTACAATACTCTCCACAATGAGGAAGGATGAAGGATGGAAAGATGGTAAAAAAACAGCACAGACAATACATCGTAAGAATGTCATTTCTTAGAGTATATAACAGCATAGATGTTCATGTGTGCCATTCTTCCAAGCAGATTCTCTACTTACAACTATGTCTACGTATCAACTTACACGACCGAATACTCAAAGAAACACCATTTTACGACACTCTTTAAATAAAAGAAATAGACATGAGTTTTAGAACTCATTTATCGTCTCTTTCGTGAGAAAATTTACTCATTGTATTTCTCACCCTGAAAAGCAGGATTGACTGTAGTTTTCTTGCTGCCACCCCATTACAATACATCACACCACAATAAAATACAAAACTGTTCACGAGATAAAATAAAAAGTCTATTGCCTCCATCAGGACCAAAAAGTAGTAATATTAATTTTCAAGATAAAAAGTTTTGGTTTTTTTAATTATTCACTCAAGGCAGGCCAATTTCATTACTGATAATCTGGTCAATCTGGTGGCTGGACTGAAACTGCTCACAGGCAACAGGAGTCGACAACTAGAACAACATAAGCTATAGTGTCAGTTTTAGTTTACCTTTTGAAAATTTGGACACTTCAACTTCAATCGATTCCACCCCATTTTCTCCTGCTTCGGCCTATGAGATATTTGAGATCCATTAATCCAGCCCATGACTTAGACACCCCTGCCTACACCTGCACTATAGAGGAGTAATAGTAGCAAAATACGAAACAATGTCTATCACCTGAGGCAGGGGCAGGATGTAGGAGCGGCCTCAAAAACTCACCTCATCTTGAGGTGCATAACATGGGTCTTGTTTGCCTTTCTGAAAAGAAGAGTAAAAAAAAAATATAGACTTGTTGCTTAATTGGTGACAAGGAAATTAGGTCAACAACTGATTCCATATTCACTTAAACTTCCTTAATCACTTCTACTCATTCCATATCTATACTCCATCGTTTATTCACTGAAGCCAGAAAATTCTCATATCTCATTATAATATTGTAAAGGTTTAATGTCCCTTTCAAAACTGCAAGGTTTTTAATGAGGCAGGACCTTCAAATTTAACATCCATCTCTCATTGGATTGAGCCAAATGGGTGGGGAGTCTATAAAAAACTTCCCAAAACAACCCAAGTTCAGAATGCCTTGTCAGGGATATTTGAACCACGGCCATCTACTCCATAGTCCAGCATGATACCAACTGAGCTAAGGGTGCTCCAAAAAGAGACTAACATAAAAAAGAAGCATGCTGGATGTGCGTAATCTTTAGGTATGGAAGACGGGATATTCTTCTAACTCACTTTGTTGTTATTGTTTGTTCCGTTGGTGGACCCGCACTGGAACATTCGTATAAACTCTGGAGTGAGGTCCACATCGCGGGAGAGCTGTCTCCACTTGCCGCATTCCTTCTTCTGGCACTGCACCCAGTATGGCACAATCTGTTCCATCATAAAGGCAACCACCGATCCTTCGGTGCGTGCATGGGCCGACCACTTCCGTTTCCATGCTGTGAAATCGGCGTAACCAGCCTTATGACTGATGGGGAAAGATTCAAGGTAACCATATATAGCTTGATATTCTGCACTGGCAACAGGAAATCTCAGTTGTAGTGTTAAAATAAAGGCAATAACCGGTGTTATCATGTTTCATGTTATGACAAAAATGAACAATGTCTAGATTTCATTATCAACAGATTTGGACAATAACAACAATGCTCAAATCAGATTAACAACTGATTTAACACTCACTTTAAAATTTCTTGAACCTATCCGTACGTCGTGTTTTACTATCGTATCCATACCACGTGGGGAACTCTGTGCCACCCCTTTCCAAAGAGGAAATTTACTCGCTAATCCGATCTGTATGCTTTGTATAGCAGTCTATCAAAATGACCTTTTGAGAAATACTGAAAGTTTCAAAGAGATCTTCGTACAAGAAGTATTCTAAAACGTGAAGAATACAACCCCGGGGGTACAAAATGACCCAAGGGCGTACGGATAGGGTTAAAGCTCCTGCTGACAATGTGCTGTCCAACCTCTGCCTAAAAGCAATCTAAGCTTGTGCATCAGAGATTTCCTTTAAAAATCACTCCCTTAAACAGCAACCAGTTCCTTAAACAGTAACTTTTTTTGCTACAAAATGTCTGACAAGATTTTTTTTTTAAGATCCAAAAGCTGTGAAAATGGACACTGCCCAATGATTTCAGAGTGTGCATGCATCCCCCTTCTCTCATTTATGTCTCCTTAAAACACCTGCAAGGGCCAAAAATGTTCTAGATTTTGAGTGCAAAAGTTTAATTCACACCCTCTACCCAAAAACAACCATCCTTCAAGAGTCTAAAGAAAACAGTCTTAGCCAATGTGCATAACAAAACCACCGCTGATGCTCAAATACTGCCTATGTTCTCACTTCCTGACATAAATAACAACATCACCATATCCTCCAATCAGGACCCATGCACATGTGTGTGTTTGTGGAGGGAGAGGAGCAAAGGAGGGGGGGGGGGACGGGGGGTTATCACTTGCAGAAATGTCTGTCTAACAACTACAGCAACCAATGCCTGCTTCCCCCGGGGGTTAAGTAAATACCACTGTACCGAAGTAACTGCAATAAACAAAATTCTCAAAATTTTGGGCACAATATATTTTAACAGCTGGCCAACGCTATATGAATTCAAACCCTCAGCTGTTAACAAGTGACAATGACTTATTTACTCTTCACTTAATCATGAGCTCTGACTTCGAAATGTCCTATTAGCACTCAACATTCAAGATTTTCAAAGCTGTTTTACAAAGGAACATATGAACAACCATTCTCCATTAATCCAAACAGTTGGAAGCTATAGAAATGGAACAAGGACATCTAGTTTGAAGTAACAGACCTTCTGTAGTAGTGCTCAAAGCATTCATTGCAGAAATGCTCGCCCAAAGTCACGTGGTACCATCTTGAGGTCCAGCTACTACCACAGCATCTAAAGAACAATGACAAATAATTAAAATAGTAATAACATGAATACATTACATTACAAAGAACTCCGCTTCTCCAAAAACATGACAGCATCAACAAGTTAAACCCTTAATGAAGCAAAATCACTTAGTGTTTCAACAAGCACAATTCTGAAACCCAAGGGACAAAGAGTAGTGATAGATTTAGCAGTCCAGTGCAAATAATTAGATCCAGCTTGTAAATACATGTACTACGAACAATCTTCAATAGGAAACGATTTCTTTGTACAGAAAAAGTATCTCTGAATTCGAACCTGTAATTAGTTTTATTACCACTCAGCACAACTTGCCAACACAAAAAAATTTGAGGGCAAAAGGCAAGAGGGCGACCGAGAAAGACCTGGATAGATGGAGTTAGAGAAACATTAACAACTCAACGGCATCCCTCTGACCCAAGCTCTCCGACTGGTGGCAGAGACACGTTGTCGAGTAAATGATGACTTTGACAGGTTTTATTTTAGTTTAGTAGTTTTTGTAAGGTTTTACTGCGCTCGCAACTGCATAAGGTCATATGAGAGCCCCTTGGGGTGGATATCAACATGAGAAGTCCAATCAGACTTACTCTGCTCACCTCTCTAGCCTCAACAGCCCAAAGTCTACTTCGACTATCAATGCACCCAGGAAATAGCAGTTCACAAGAGAGTGACAAACATACAAAAGAAGTAGAGGAAACCGACGATAGTAAGGATGAGGAAAGAAAAAGCAGCAGATCCCCCTATGTTGTTCCAGAAGAGTATGAGCATGACATTGATAAATCAGCTCATTTACAATTCTACTGTGCATAAGAACAAGTTAATATCCACCCTTTGGGAATGGTCTAAAGACACTACCGTGAGTAGCACTGCCCTGGTTTGACAGTTTTACAAATAAACCAGGTACACACCAAATATTACTGTCATCATTCTCTGATGGGCCCAAAACACTGTGAAAACACTGATCGAAAGATCGAAGTCTGCCAACGACATTGATATATGCAGGATAGACATCACATATCATACATAAAAGAAACTAGTCACATTCTGTACATGACTATGTTGTGTTCCTACAGCCTACTTACTAACTTACCAATTTATTTAATCTGATTCTTAAGTGAGCTAACACATCCTATTACAATGTCAAGGTGTTCTAGACAGTTCAGCTCACCTCTCACTGACTCCCGCAAAACAGATGGGCACTGTTGCAGGACATCCAGATCGTCCACATTTTCTTTTTGGTCCATCTGATGAACCTTCTTCCTCGACAAAGTATTTCTTGTTTGGCTTTTGTTGGCGGGCTGACCTACACACATTTAAAGAAAATAAATAACAATCAACTATGCTGTAAAAACCAAGGTCAGCATCAACAGAACCAAAAAGTAGATCCACAAAATAAATTTATAAACACTCCTCCACAGTTGCTTGTTTCTCTGCATCTGAGCTTTTTTTTTTTTAGTTAGTTACATGACGGTTCTACTGCAGATGAACAAAATATTTATTCTTCATTTCTAAGGAGAGTGTAAAACCTATAGCCTATTATCTCCACACACACAAAAAAAAAAAAAAAAAAAAAGATTTCCAGTCCCCATCAAACCTTCTTGCTTTTCCATTGATAGTTAATTTCCACTTTTGGTATCAACTTTTTCAGTGGTACACATGGAACAAACGTATCAAACTTATTAGTTCTGACAATAACTCTTCTAACACTGTAACAAAACATATTAAAAGTTTAATCTTGTATATATAAATCAAATAATTTAATTATAATATAACAAGTGTCTTGCTCTTGTGGAATCAGGTGCTTATAAATTTTTGGGCTTAGCGAGGTATTGATATCATTTTTAAGCTTGTGTCTTAGTCTTACTTTTGTTTTTTTTAAATATAACTATCTCAAGATATTGAAATATTTACGATTAAAGCAGGTGAGGGTCACGTAGCGTCAACAGTAAAATTAGAGAGAAAATGACTGCCAAAGTTTGGTCATTTCCAAAGTTTGAGTGTCCTTGAAAACTGCACATTTACCATTTTTGTTCCTTTGATCAACATTTTTCAGCAAAATCTACACAGAAATGCGTTTTTAAATAGACATAAAAGTAAAAGGCGTTCATAATTTTTTAAAAAGAGAATTATTTTCTTTTAAATTGCCCAAAGGCCAGAAAAATGTCAGTTTCTTTGATTACAAATGATTTCATAATTGCGTTACGAAGTGATGGAATCAGGCGCTCGTCAATTTTGGGGCATATGGAATTATAAACATTGTCTTAAAGCTTGTCTTGTTCATTTGTCTTGGTTTGGAGAAAAAATACTCGATTTATCTTGAAAAGAAGTAAAGAAATTTGTGCAAGGAACAACTGCTTTTATTTGATTTGACACATAACTTTTTTTCCAAAGTAGTCCTAACAAAACGACACTTCTTAAAACGTTTCTATACTCACCTCTTCATTCTGTGCTAAGAAATGCTTTACAACTTGAACATATTCCACTTCCACTTAGTTTAGGGGCAGACAGGGGGAAAACAGAAGACCTTACTGTACACCTGGGGACAGTATGAAAAGAATTGTCTTAACCATATAAGCAAGGTAAACAAAAAGGTAGTCCATTATTTTGTTTTGGAAGTATCATAGGTATTTAAAGACAAGACAACTCCCTCCCCTGTTTATTGTGTCATTTTTTTTCAATATTTCACTTTAAAAAGATGCTCTCGCAAAGTCCAACCCTTTGTCCCGGTTGGGAGAGGTGGAAACGGGACAAAATATGGGATAGCTGAGTCAGGGTGAAATATGGTACGATTTTAACTTTGTCACTGAGGTGTACACTATCACTAGCCATGAAGGCTAACCCAGGACACCCAAAAACATTGCTCTAACTAAGGGAGCTCGGGTGAAACTGTGACTGGCCTCGCAAGCCGACAGCGAATAAATCATGCTACGAGAAAACAAGAGAGAAGAAACAAATGTGACTGCACAATGTACAGACGCATCTCTTTGTTAAGACACTTAGGGAAAGCATACTTGAAGATAATTGAACAACGGATGAGACCTATTGAGGAAAGAAACCCAAACAAAGCTCAGTTCAGATTCCAAAAGGGAACCCATGCCATGTACGGATGCTCTGTATTATCATGACGACAGCTTTGCAAGGAAGCCATTTTGAGCACAACAAGGAATCCATCATCGTCTTCACAGATCAGGAGAAGAAGCCTTTCGACAGAAAAAAAACATGCTAAACTCAGGAAGACACTCGAAAAGTATAATACCAGAAGACAACTGTCAGACAATATCAGAGCTCTACATATCAACAACTGAAGCTCAGAACTTGAACAAAGGAAGCAGGAAGGCAAACAAACTAGTGGTTCAAAGTAAGATATTTGAGTACGACAGGTATGCGTTTATGAAACTTCATAAGGTCATTTGAGAGCGCGGGACGCATTATTTAAACATTTTCAGTGGGTAGGAAATTTTGAATTTTCCCTGGGTGGCAGCCGAAGCCTAATCTTATTGATTTTAGACCACCAAGGGATTTTTAACGTGCGCAACTTGCACACGGGACCTCCAAGATTTTTCGCCCTTGTCTGAGAAGGCTGGGTGTGTAGATCTTTCCTACCATAAGGTCATGGGTGTGGCTGAAAGAAAGCAGTAAGAAGGAGCCAAGGAGTAGCAGTAGAAAGGCCACAGAAAGAGAGTCAGGAGCCCAGGAGGCGGCAAAGGAGGCGGGGGCAGAAAGTGGAGATGAAAGAAGATGACTGAACATTGCTAGAGAGCAGGACAGGAGTTGAAAAGAGACAATTTTAGAGAAGAATATTTTTTTCCATCGCAAACACCTTAACCTCTAGGCCACAAGAGCCCCCATTTCAACTCCCCTTCTTTAAAATATAAATGTATTTTGTATTTTGTACTTTTAGGACACAATAACACAAGACTCAAGACACAAACCAAAGCCAAGAAAGTCTATGAAATTCTGTTTGCAGACGACCAATGAGTCCAATGTCTTTTATTCATCGAAGCCAACGAAGCCCTCAAAATCAAAATCACACACTACTGAACTTAACAACAGCTGTGAAAAATTTGACATGAAAATAAACACATCAAAAACAAAAGTTATAAAGAGAGTGAGCCGAATTCATAGTCCCATGAACATCCATGTTAATAGTAACTGAAAGAGGTGAAGTACTTTTTCTGAAAACGTGATCATAGACAGAGAAATAGAAACGTGAACTCAAAAAGCCAAAACCATCATCTACCAGCTCACTTCCCTTCTATCTCATCCCAACATCTCCATGGACACACGAGACAGCTTAATATCACTTCAATACAGCCGAACCTGCAATGACAGCCACCTGTATAATATGGCCACCTTTACAGACAGCCACTTTCCATTCCCCCCCTTGCCTTGTGTTTTTTCTATATAATTTAACTGTGTGAACGGGCACTTGTCCAACGCAGCCGTGGCCACCTTATTTTATCAACCCAGAGCCAAATTTACCTGCCTCAGGCGGCCAGGCGTGGTCCCTATATATATAATCGCCCAATGCTCTGTCATAAATTCTAAATCAGCCTCTGACGCTGTGGACGGGCTGTCATGATTCATTCACCTGTCATATAAATGTTTTAAGTTTATCCACTGAAGGTTTACCCAAGTTGACCGATGGGTAGCAATACATTTTCAACTGCTGGTGAGGGGAGCATTGTCCGTCATTTATAAACTATAATCCCTGCTCACAACTCATACAAATTGTACATGAAGAGACTGGTCTCTGTTTTGTTTACGTAATCTACACTGTGTAACAAAGTAACAATGGACGTTAACGTGAACTTGCCCCAGAAGCGTCCATCGTTCTTCGAGTGGTGGCCCACCGTTTGTTTTACCATAACACTTGGTCTTCATCGTCTTACATTCTTTCTTTTATCCTTGCACAAAATCAGCAACTAAAAAGCTAACCAAAAGAAAAAAAAAAACCAACAAAGCAATACAACAGAAAAAACCCTTCTTACACTCATCCACCTCCTCTCCCCCTTTCAAAAGAAAACAAAAACCCTTTTGAATTCGCCCCATTGCAGTCCTAAGCCTGAATCAGCCCCAGTATGGACTTCAGAGAAGGGAACGGTTTTTGGTTTTTATTTCTTCATTTTGATCATAGGCTGCTAAGCCGGATACGGGGTGCCCACTACGGCTGGGATCGGCCGATCGCTCGCCTCAAAAACAAATGTGTTTGTTTTCAGTTTCAGGCGATCGAGTCGGGTGATCAGACCGATCCAGCCGTAGTGGGCACCGCGTATAAGACGGCCACCTACAGGGGTTATACAGCCACTTTTCTCCTTGACAATGGGTGGCCATTTTACACAGGTGTAGGTCCGACTGCATTTTTATACCAACATTTATGCTACCAGTGCTAGACCTGTACAAAGTAAAACTAATGAAAACAAAATCACTGAATGTGAGTGTGCGATGAAATGACTCCCCAAAACCCTTAACATCACAAGACGAGCCAAGAAGAGAAATTTTATGAAGAAGTAAGAGCAGCTATTGGCACTGAGTCCAGCCTTCATTTCATGGAAAAACAGAATAAAATGGGTTCGCCACCTCTGTTAAATGAATGATTCAGAATGTCACCTACCATCAAGCACTCCGGCTATAAAAGGAAGAGGTAGGCCTACACCACGAAAAAGATGGGTTGAAGGAATCAAGGAAACCCTGGGAAATTATTCTATCCTGCCAGTCTAGCCGTACTTAGATCTAGGTTTGGCCCAATTGACTCAAGCCTGTTAAGTACACAGGTCTCATTAGATCTAGATCTAGTAATTATTCAGGTTCAAATAGGCCTACATGCAAGTCAGTAAGGCACCTTTTGGTTTTGTCTGAAATACAAAAATACTTTAGGCATTGCAAACTAAAAATTTCATTTACAATTCAACCATCAATATTTTATTAAGTACGGCTAGCCTGACAGTCTAGCCGTCCTTAAGTACGGCTAGCCTGGCTGTCTACCCGTGCTTAAATACAAATACTTTAGGTACTGCACAATAAAAATGTATATTTACAATTCAGTAGGCCTATTTTTTGTCAATTGCCACCGAGTGAAGCGGTGTCAAGTCTGAAAACAACACTATCTTTAGCATTATACTTATATATGTGTGTCTAATGGGTCAATTTGTTCTCAACTAATTCATTGGACGAGCATCTCTAGTCCAGAGCTAAGGCACCAACTTGGCGTGTTTTCAATGAGACGTAGACCTAGATTTAGGCTAGCCTTAGCCTACACTTTGGTGGAGAACCAACACAGGCAATTCTAGAAGTAGGTCACAAACTCAAGCAGAAATTCACGTTATATCGGGGAACATAAATCAGGGGACGGGGGTCAGGAAAAGACACACACACACACACACACACACACACACAGAGGGACAGAGAGGCGAACGGCGAACGCACAACACCGAGCGCCGAGCACTCGAGTACAATAGTCAATAAGCTAGATCTACCCACCAACGCAAAAAAAGAGCTCCAATTACTCGGTGGAATTGACAAAAAGGTAGCCTAATTTTTGTCAATTGCCACCGCGTGACTTGGTGGCAATTGACACTACCTTTTTGTAAATGGTCAGTCTAGCCATCATATTAAGAATAAGTACGGCTAGATTGCGAGTCTAGCCGTACTTAAGTACATTAAGTACGGCTAGCCTCTTCCATCCTAATTGAGAGAGCTGCAGAGCGGGGCCTAATAAAAATTTGGTGGGGGGCTTCTGAATGTCACCATAATTTGATGTTTTGCAGTTGTTAGGTTTGATATCTTAGCACATCAAACATAAATATAGTAGTATAGATCTAGATCTAGATCTAGATCTAGATCTAGATTAGATCTTGAAGTTGAAGTAGATCCAAGCTCAAATAGGAGGCAATAAGGGGGTGGGAACTACAAAAAAGCACCAAATTCTCCAACAAGCATGATTTGAGTTTGATATATGAGCCATTTGAGCAAGTCTGTCTTCAAATTGGCTTTCTTGGACAAAACGACAAAGACGACAGACATGAATGAAGTTGGTCGTCATGCTCCAGTGACCAGCCAGTGCAGCCAACTGCGAATGCCAGTGTAGGCCTACCAAGGAAAGTGCGGTCAACGACTCCCAGCATGTCACAATGGCCGTGGGCGCCCTGGCTTTCCAGTTCTAACCTGGACTTTGTTTTCGTTCAACAGAGCTAGATATTAGATCTAGAATCTAGATATCTTGATCTACGCCTCACAAACTCTTGTCTTGAATCAAAGCCAACTCTGAGTGAGTGTGAACTGTACTGTGTCCGAGTCCGAGTCCATGACCGGTGGACTGTTTTCAAACAGTTTAAAAAAGATAAACAAAAACTGGATAAAGCAGTCTTATGTACAGAAAAAGATGGGGAAAAATGAACCAAAGAACTTTCGAAGCAATCGCAATTGCACTAGAATCTAGATCTAGTACTTACAACGTAGAGATCCATCAATCACTGGTGGTACTACAGTAAACTGTCTTTATATAAACAACACATATCGGAACAATTTACTACTAAAGCACTGAGATACATGGGACGTAACTATGAAAATGTTTTAAATATTTGCCAGAATTGCGGCAAAAAGTGTGCTACAGTTGCAGCATTTGTTTTTCTTCTAATTTTTTGGAGACATACTTTTATCATAATGTTATATCAGTAAATACTACTTCTATATTTGGAATGTTCAAACTTTTCTCAGATCTATGATACAGTCTAGACTTCACAATCACAAAACAATAGTTAGATCTAGATCTAGTATTAATTTTGTCAACTTGGCAGTCAACAGTGTGGCTCCATGATATCGCCATTATATTGTTCCTCAAAATAATTTTTTTGTATGCAGGCCCCATGTGGAAATATATCATTCAATGTTGTGCCTTATTGAATACGAACTATTGTCAAATTGTCAAATTATGTCACCCAAAAGAGTAATTCAGCTTTAAAACAGATGTTACTTTATTTTCATTGTATGCAGTAGCCTACACATGCTGGCGGAATTTTTTTTCTTTAGTTTCTTTTTCCTTTCTTTCTCTTTTTTCCCAAAGGATTTTAAGATCAATCAGTTGCATAAAGTTATAATTATGACGTCTGTTAGTATAAAGAGTGCAGCTTATTTTCTCCAGAAAAATGTTAATTTTTTTTCTTCTAAAAATATCCCCAACTCGACATAATTGGGTCGTTTAAGGGGGGGGGGGGGGCTACACCTGAATGCTATCTCGCTTATTACTGGACCGAATTTTACCAAATTTCACACATATAATAAGCATAATATAGTAAGGAGTCTTAAAATCAGCAATCAAATTTGAGAAAAATGTTTCGCTTCCATGGATACGGCGGCAATATTGGATTTTGTTGACATGTCCAGAGACTTACTTAATGAATACCGCACTTAAATTTATCGCTCATGGAAAATGATTAGTTGTTTTTTTGCATGCATGTTCACAAACATTAGATCTAAAAATTTGTCTGTTGTTTTTTTCCTAAACAAATTAGAAAATTTTTAATGAATTTTTTCCTGAGGTAGCAGTCAAGTTTGCAAAAAAATCCGCGAAAATCCAACACCACCAACAAAAATCTAGAATCTAGATCTAGTCCTTATAACAAAAATTCAACATACACATTTTTAGTATTACATCTTCTCTTCATTCTGTGAACATTTCATGAAGATTGGATGAAAAATGGTCGAGTTATTCAAAAAACTATAGAGAAAAGTCGCGTTTTGAGAAAACGGCCTATAAAGAAAAATGAAATACTGACATTAAGAGGAAATGGCGGTGACAAACATGCCCGGTATGGGAAAAAATACCGTTTTTGGGGGGTTCTTATGCTATGAAATAGTTGTAGGAGATGCCGAGGAAGCTAAAAATGCCTACAACTCTAATTCCATAATTTTGAGCCGAATTTTGACTTTGGGGGAGTACCCCCCCCCCCCCCCCCCCTTAAAGGAAATTGTAGGCACCAGCCTTTGGAAGTCTTCCGTGACGTTTCTGTTCTACTAGACAACTACATGACAATGTTGGCAATGCATATATACACAGACTGCGATCTCGACGGTGTCCACCACACTCCTATTGTCTGAAGTGACAGTTGTTCTACTATGATGTTACACTTTTTTTAGGTTTGGAACTGTCATCAGCGCATTAAAACCTTTGTTTTGGTCCTGATAAAAAGGACCGGGAATCTCTTGGTGATATGCTCAGACACGTTTTAATGTCATTAAATTGCTTATACAGTGTATTGCTATATTTTGTTTCATTACGTTCAAGTATTTAGATGCTTGATGTTTATCTTATTAGGTAGTTCGATTGTGCCGGTCACGCACCCATCCTGACCGTGCACGATCGCCGTTGCGCGGGGATCGATACGTATAGCCTACATATCACGCTAGTCTATAATTACAGTTTGGCCTCTCATACGACCTTCGATATAACGACATCCTCTAATTATGACGACATGGAGCCCAGGTCCAGATATTTCCTATATTATATATCATTAGTAATTTTTTGTTGCCTCTACGACAACTCTCTATAACGACATTTTTTTCTGGTCCCGACATTAGAGATGGGGCGAGCGGACGGACGGGTTCGTCACTCGCGGACTCAGTCAGAGCGAATGGGTAACGGACGGCCATAAGAGCGAACTGCGAACCTCAAGACAGTTCGTTTTTTGGGTCCGCTCCACAATTTTATTCACTGGGCGAGAAGGCAAACTTTAACAGACGAACTCTAGCAGACGAGATACTCGACGCGAGGTCAGGCCCACAGTCTATTGTTTGTTAATTAGGCCTATAATGTTTCAAACCACTAGCGATGCCTCAGGGAGTGAGAGAGGCTGGTGACGTAGTACTATGTGTGTAACCTTTCACCTCGTGCGTGGGGCACACTGTGTACGTTCCAATTATCTCAAAGGCGAGGGAGGGGGGGGGGGGGGGGGGCGGCGGAAATTTCCGTCATGAACGCCTAGCTACAATGTGAGGCAGGAGGGTGATTTTTAAATTATTTTTTAGGGGGGGGGGGGAGTTTAAAAGTTGTAGGCAATGGAAGGAGTCGTTCCCGTCCGTCCGTCCGCCCGCCCGCCCGCTCGAATGCATAAAGTCTCATGGAGTCTCTCGGTCCGCCCGTCCGCTCGCTCGCTAAACGAACTGTTGACTGTCCGATGTGTAGCGAGTAGCGAGTAGCGAACTACTCTTCACAAACGGACGGTTCGTTACCCGTCCGCTCGTTTGCGGGTAATGCCAGCGGGTAAATCGTTACTCGCGGACACTCATTTTGTGAGCCCGACCCAACTCTACTCTTCACAAACGGACGGTTCGTTACCCGTCTGCTCGTTTGCGGGTTGTGCCAGCGGGTTGGACGTTACTCGCGGACGCTAATTTTGCGAGCCCGACCCAACACTACCCGACATATTATGCTGTTATTGAGAGGCTGCACTGTATAGCGATAGCGGCTTTAGTTCTCGTCCGGGTAAGCCTTCTTGTTTGAAAGGCCATTGAAAGGAGATATGAGCTCGAGAGGGCTACACCTTCACAACAATGGTTTATAACGGGCAAAAAGCACAACTCCAACAAAATCTGAGATTGTTTACATCAACATTCTTTTGATAATACGAAAAAAGCAGGAACAGGAAAAAAACATCACACAAAAAAAGATTAACTGATCATGTAATATGATCAATATTATGATTCTTTTAAAATTGTGTTAGTCAATGACTCAAACAATCTCAGGTAAAACTCTCTGCTTGACTTTTTTCTCCTTATTAGTCATTGGTTCTATTTATAGAAAAAGACCATATTTGGACAAAATAAACGGAGACTTCCTTTGAAAGCGAGGCTGATATGGGGAACTTAACTAAAATTAGAAACATTGTTAGCTATGGACCTAGGACGTTCCAGATTGAGCATTCTTATTTTATTTTGGTTAATATTCCTTTGTGAAACTCACAAGAAAAACAGATATGCTAAATGAAAATAATATGCTATCTAATAAAAACAGAATCACACAATTATTTCGGTTTTTTGTTTTGTTTTTACTAAAGAATATATATATATATAAGACTAGATCTAGTCAAAAGATATAGGGTGAACAACTACTTTAGAAGTAAGCTAAAATCTGGAGAAGAGGTTTCCTCCTGGAGTCTGGAGTACCCCCCTTCCCTTCTACTTCCGTGTCATAGTTGGCATTGAACAGAATAGAGAAGGCGTGACTTTTCATTTCACCAACAGTCTCTAAGATATTGTTTTGAGTCCTAACTGTGCTTCCCATTACCAATATGCAGGTAAGAAGACCAATTAACACATGGCTTGTCTAAATTGACTTTGTCACTAGATTTCTAGTTCGGTTTGTTACAACTAGATCTATGGCTATGGTGAGCGCTACCCAACTTTGGACAGCCCAGCCCCAGAGCTGTCCTGTTGTTGAGTTGTCTGTGTTGTCCGTGGTCGTGGCTCATCTGCCATGCCACGGTTTAACTCCACTTTACTTCATATTTTCATTCCCATCTCATCATCAGATTCATCATAAAAGTCGTATAAATTATAAACAAGATCACCAAAACTGCTGGCAGTAATGGCGAGTTGGTGTAAACATGCCTTTGCCTTTACTTTTGCTTCTTTTCTGACTGCAAGCAGAGATGCAGATTTTGGGAGTTAATTAGATCTAGATTTCTAGATCTAGATTTAGTTTAGATTCTACTACTGTGTTTGTTCCCATGTAATTTGTGCTGCAGAATTTAACACATTAAATAATAATGCAGCTTTCGTCCCTCCATGAAGGAAGATCTAGCTGGCCCTGATTGATTCCAATGAATCAAATTGGCAGTGTGCACCAGACTGGGTATGTTTTTGGCCACCTCTATTCTCACCCCGGGTGAGAATAGCGCAGGCGAGTCTTTTGGCTATTTTCACCCGGTGGGCGTTCACCGTTATAGCCTAGGCCAACAAGTGAAGCGTTTACTCTGAACCACAGAATTCTACACTGTGATAACAGAATTATAGAATTCTGTGCTGTGAACAAATGTTCTAGATCTATTACTACTGTTAGTGTTAGCCTAAAAGCGTGCATTTTTAGAGAGGAGTAGCGCGAGAACTTCCGGGCAAAACAAAATGGCGACCCGCGTAGTTCGGCTCGATTCGGAAAGTTATATAGCCGTAGCATCTTTGTAGACAACCAAATTAATATAGTTTTCTTGTTTAAAATCATTTTTAACTTTGTTTTGGTCAATTTGATCATCCACACCGATAGACAGTAGGCCTATATATTCAGAAAGAGACAGAGAGAGAGAGAGAGGGGGGAGGAGTAGATCTTGTGAGAACTTCGGGGCAAAACAAAATGGCAACCCGCGTAGTTCGGCTCGATTCGAAAAGTGGAATAGCCATAGCATCTTTGAAGACGATCAAATTAGCTTACTTTTGTGCTATAAGGTAATTTTTTCTTGGCTTTTATCAATTTGAACATCCACACTGATAGACAGTATTCCAAAATGAGGAAAGACAGGTCTTGTTTCACACCGGGTGAGAATAGCCTACGCTGGCAAGTCTCACCCGGGGTCAGAGGTAGATCGTATTTCTATTCTAGCCACTTCCATTTTTTTAGCTTTTTTATTGTATGCAGAAGACACGGGTACAATTACTCAGTGCCCATTAGCACGATCGGTTCGAGTTTGGTAGGCAGGGCTAGCCAGATTCAGGGTGCAAAGTGCAAAGTGCAAAGCGACCATCGTGGCACAAACCGACTCACTGTCTGAAAACAAGCCTTTGTTTTAAAGGCTGCGAGTTGGGTGATTGGTTTGTAAGAGAACCTATGCCTCAATGGGCACTGGGTTATAATTCCAGTGTGGGGGGAATTCTTTATCAAGTATCTTAGTCTTTCTGCTGGTACGTTGTATCGTGCCCTTAGCCTGGGTTGGTCTGACAGACTGGATCAAAGCTGGTCCCTAACCTGAAATATTTTAGTTGTGGCGATTCGAACCTAAAAAAGATGCCTTCTTTTTAAAAGAAGATAAAACATACATACTCAAATCATCACCGAAACATTCACATTCTTATTTTTACTCTGCAAATGAATTCATAAACAGCTTTCACGAATGCATATTATATTATATGATTATTTTTTTGTTACCAGTTGCTGAAGCACCAAACTGACAGCTTAAAAGTCAATGAGCAGAAGATTAGAAAAATATTATAAGAGGTTTCATCGTTTGCTTGAGGATATTTCTGTCAGGCTGATCAAACCCATAACCTTATTGTCAGTCTGACATCCTATCACTAAACTAAACAAGGTTTCCTCACAAAACAAAGTCTTGCTTGTTCTGAACTTTATAAAGTGCTTGAATTTCCTTCCACAGAACCAATATGAAGACACTGAGTGGAATGATGCCCTCCGCCGACACAACATCATCCCACAGCTTGAGAAAGAAGTCACAGAGGAAGACATTGTGGACTTGGTGGAGCAAACAGTGGAATCGAAATCACAAGGTACTACTAATAAGTAGAATAAGCACCCAAAAACCCTTTTGTTTTATGGTGTGTTCATTTTATGTCTAATTTTTTTCCAGTTCTTTAAAGTAATAATGATTTTATACATAACAATTTTTATTGCAGACTTTTATTTAGATTATATCACTATCACCCTCCCCCAGGTACAATATTTGTCATTTTTCAAAGGCAGACCAAGAAAGAAAGTGGGCTCTGGACTTTACCTTTATTCTCAGTGAAATGCGAACAAAGAAGTTTTATCACAACTTAGCTTCATCTCCAAATGCTGATAGTTAATCTGTGACCAGAACATTTTTTGTTTAAAAGGAATATTTTTATATTTTACACCTGTGTTACTAGAACAAGAGATTTGCACATACCTGAGCTAGCTAAATTGAGATAAATATTATTGGAAAGATAAGGCTACTCCAGAATCAGATCTCTGTGACTCACGTGAGTAACACTTGTAAGGTCAGTACCATCGAAATATATATGAAGAAATAAATCCTGTTTGATCACTCTGAAAACTGTTAATACTATTTAAAACCATCTCATGTTGTAGTTATAGACCAGAGTTATTCAGCCATAGTTCACTGCGTCACTTTTCGCCAGATTCTGTTACTTTTAGTTTTAGTTAGCGTGACTCCGCAGCCTGCCGTGTTCACGCGGTTAATGAGCCCTGAAGCAACTTTGCCGGTGTCGGTTAAGTAGTTCGCCTTTTTGTCTCCCTTTGAAATAATATAACTTCTTCCCCATCCCACACAGCAAACCATTACACTGATTTACTGAACGCTCAAACTCAATGTCTTGAGATTTATTCTGCATTAGACTGGTTAATTTTGTATTAGACTGGTATTTGAATATATTTAATATGGTAAAGAATAAGTTGTGTTCTCTGTTGATGTAAAGAATAACTTTTTACAGCACCTTGATCATTTTAAAATTGTTTTGCTCATTACCTTTTCTCTCTTGATAATTTTTTGCACTCATGAAATTTGCTGTATCAGTAGCATCAGAATAAATGTTCGAATCTATCCCCTCTTTTTACTTTCAGGAAAGAGCCTTGGTGATATGACATATGATGAACTGAATGAGAGAGAAGATGATATTGATGAGGAAGATGAAAGGATGTTTGAACAGTACAGGTAAGAAAGAGATTTTCAAGGTAAATGTTTATATGCTGTTTGTTTTTTGTTTTACACAAACAATCTTTTTATTGTCAAAGCTCGCTTCAGTGGTGCTTACATCAAACTATTTGTCAATTTTAACCGTCCGTTTTGTTAATTAGCTGTATCTGTTGTTTCAGTGAAAGCAAGTCCGACAGATAATGCATTTTCGATTAATACCGCTATGGGGACTTCTACCCTGAATGGGCCAAGTTACGAAACAACACCACAAATATCAGCTTTACTTTTGAGATCTTTTGCTTTAATTTGGTAAAGCGCCTAGTTTCCAATTTACACCATACATAGAGTTGTTTAAGAATTGCGTGTCGAATGAAGTAAATCCTTATATTTCACACATGAAATGCGGATGTCTCATGTGTGAAATATGGAGATTTGCTTGGATCACTCGGCTCACGTTCTGTTTAAGTAAAGTATAGACTTGAATCATAATATTCCTTGACTGTCGCAAAGCGTGCTCACCATGGGCACCCAAATGAAGTGCCAAACACCAGTGTTCCTGTAGATGAGAGTATGTGCAGCTTTCTACATTGCCCTTAATTTTTTTCAAAAATTGAGCCAAATGGTGCGCACCATAGTGAACGGGGATTACGTCAGAGTGCTGTGGTGTATTTTAGTGTTATGCACAAGTTTATGCTATCAAATGACCCGCAACCTATAGTTTGTTTTGGTTGAGAAGTTTAAAGTCAAAGTATCTCTATTCTAACGACAAGAAGTACAGTTTCTTCGTTTTTCAACTCTTGAAGCTTATGTTTCCTGTTTGCTTTACCCATGCTTGTGTTATTAATGTTTTGTTTTGGGTTTATTTTGCAGAGGGAGACATACGAATAGCACAACATGTAAATTAGTGTGGCTTGAAATAAAGGGGAAAAAAATCTAGATTGTTTTCCAATCCTCAGGCTGACTCCGATGGGCTTGAAAATTTTGTTTTCATGTGAGACTCTTGAATAGATCTTCTTGCCCTCTTGACTGCGAAAAAGCCAGTTGAAACTCGTGATTACAACTTGGCAATTTCTCTCTTTGGATAAATCATGTCTGCCGCAAATCAGGCACTTGATGATGGTAACATGTTTTGCTTTTTAAAACATACTTAAGTATGTGTTGGTATGGTGCTTTGGAGTGTTCTGCCTATTCTATTTCAGGGTTATTTTTTTCTTTACCCATTTTCTGGGAACTCTGGAAGTTGCATCGCTGACTCAGAGTCAACATCAACTCCTTCTGGAACTTTGCTAAATGGGATTCTTAATGTGGTACAGAATCGCATCAAATGGACAAAAATACTCAATGAAATAACCTCCCCAGATAGGTATTGGGAACAGGTCTTCGGCGTGCAAAGGCTAAGAACCTTACCTGTACACTTCAAATCCGGGTTTGATTAAATATGTCATCATTTAGGTTCTATTGATTACTGTCTTTTTGTGAAATAGTTTGAACTGATATTCATGTTAATCCTTCTCTCATACTGTTTTCCAGACGCCAGAGAATGGCGGAAATGAGGGCAGCCCAGATGAAGGCGCGGTTCGGTGACGTCGGGGAGATTAGCAAAGCCGATTATGTTTCAGAGGTCAACAATGCTGGGGAGGGGATATGGGTGGTGCTGCACATTTACAAGGATGGGTGAGTCCTGAGTTTTTGTTACTGTCAGGGCTTCAGAAAAATTGCTTTTTGTTTGTTATTTTTTCCAAAAAGAGTGCTCAGTATATTCTCAGAACATTTCTTTAAATCATAATAAGTTTTGTTCAGTATTTAATTGTAACTCACTTTTTTTCTGGACATAGGACCAATGTTTAAAAGATACACTTCTGCTGTTATGATGTTAAGTGATTCTTAAGTCTCTGGATCTTACAAGTAACATTTGTGTCACGGCACGGTGGAATCAGGCGCTCGTCAATTTTTGGGTATACAGAGATATTGGTATCATCTTAAAGCCTGTTCATTTGCCTTGCTTTTGGTGAAAAGAATATGTGTCTATCTTGATTAGAAGTCAAGATATTTGCAATTGAAGGAGGTGGAGGTCACATCGTTTCAGAGGTCAAATTTATGAGAAAATGGCCGCCAAAGTTTGGTGACTTCCACAGCTTGAGAGTCCATAGATACTGAAAATTTACATTTGTTGTGCCTTTAATCAATGTTTTTCAGTAAAATCCTCTCAGAAATGTGTTTTCAAATGGACATGAAAGGTGTTGAGCAAAATGAAGAAAATATATAAAAATTACCCAACAACCAGAAAAATGCCAGTTTCTTTGATTTCATTATTTTGACGAGCGCCTGATTTCACCTTGTTGCCTGACTTTTGTATTTGCAGGTAGTAGGTCTTCATTATGCAGGAATGATAATGTGAGCATGTAAGTGAGGGAGATTGTTTTGTTGTGAGAGGGTGTTTAATGGGTATGTGAGTTTTGTTTAAGTGAATGTATGTGAACCTGGTGTTTGTGAGTGTTTATGGTTACTTGCAGTGAGGATTACATTGAATAAAAATGTTGTAGGAAGTCTCAGACATTAATATGCGAGTCATCGTGGTGAAATCAGGCTCTACTCTCATCAAAATAGTGAAATCAAAGAAATTGGCATTTTTCTGATTGTTGGGCTATTCCTTTCTTATTTTCTTTTTTTTTTTTGGCTTAAAACCTTTTATATCCATTTATAAACTCATTTCTGTGTCGATTTTACTGAAAAAGATTTATTAAAAGCACAGTAAATGTCTAGTTTCGGTTTCTAAGGACTCTTAAACTTTGGATATGGCAAAACTTTGGAGGCTATTTCGTGCTTATTTCACCTCTGAAACCAGGTAATCCTGACCTCCTTCAATCGTAACTATTTGGACTTCTATAACATATATGGATTTTTTTTCATCAAAAGCAAGGCAAATGAACAGGCTTTAAGATGATACCAATAACCCCATGCCCAAAAACTGACGAGTGCCTGATTCCACCACGTCGCAACCCATATTGGCTAAGCTTATTGAAGAATTTTTAAAAAAATGAAGTAATGGGCACATTGTTTTGCATAAGCTATTATCACTTTGTATGGATCTTTTCTTCTATGCAGACGGTCAATTTAGCTTAAGATGGTCTCAAGGTTGTCTTCATGCAGCTTCTTTCATAGCTAATTCTTCCTATGTTTGAAGCGCAGATTCTGTCGCAGTGCTTGCATGTCAGTGATGTGGATCATAGCTACTTGCATATATCTTAGTAGAATGTGTTTGTGAATATAAATAAAATGCGAACTGTTTTTAATAGGCCAAGAGATTGATGTACTGTCATAATGTCCTTCCTGAATAATGATTCAGGGACTTATGTGAAGGATTTTACTACCCCACTTCACATAAATATGTGAATGTTGTAAGATGTGACTAAGTTAACGTGTAAGTTCCTTGTGTCCTTTTCAGATTTCAGAACTCTGAATTATTTATTAGCAAGTAACTGTGACTGGGACTGTTGGTTTGTCTCAGATCATGTATAATATATCCATGTATTGTGCTCGAAATGAACTCTTTCTCTCTTGCAAAATGTTAATTTTTAGTCACCCCAAACTTCTGCTTTTTACTTTTTGGTCCTTTAGTTTTTACCTTTTTCTTTAACTTTAAGTCTGCCTTTTCTTGTGAAGCCTTTTCTCATGTATTAAATGTTGCTCTTTCAGAATCCCAATCTGCAAGCTAGTCAACAATCATATCACGAACCTGGCCCGCAAGTTCCCACAGACAAAGTTCCTCAAGAGTGTGTCCTCTGTGTGCATACCCAACTACCCGGACAAAAACCTGCCAACAATATTTGTCTATTTGGAAGGAGATCTGAAAAAGCAGTGGATTGGTCCAATTGCATTAGGAGGAATGAATCTGAAACAAGATGGTATGTGCTCTCAATTGTTTTAGATAAGGTCTATATTTACATTGTCATATATCTGGTTAGCATTTTCTTTTGTCATATATCAGGTCTGTATTTCCAATTTTATATATCAGAATTACATTTCGTTTGTCATTTAAGTTTTTCCATATGACTATGAAAGTTAATTTTTACGAAGATTATTGGCCACATTCCTTTCACTGTTTTGAAAATATGATAGCATAGACATAGGGTAACAAACACACTAACAATGTCATCACTTAGAAGCGGCCCCCATGTGATTTTTCGGCCTACTTTTATTAAATGCTAGGGATGAAGATGACGAATTATATCCAAATTTTTGGTCACTCTATGCGAGGAGTTGGGAATGAGGGTTGTGTCCTGCCCCACAGGACAGCCTAGCGGGGATCTAGAGTAAGCACCAAACAAACTTAACACTAAGACTAACACGCATGTCATTTCCTACATTGGAACATCATCATCGCCAGCATAAATAATCATCCTCATGCTCACCATCACAATTACCATTACCGTCACCATCGCCAACAACATCATCATCATCAGCAGCATTATCATCATCATCATCATCATTACCGACTCAACAATTCCCCTTTCATATAACAATCTGCACCATTACTTTCTTTTTACGTAACCAACAAAAACGGGCACCAAAATCAGGACACGGGGGGGAAAAAAAAAAAAAAAAGGCTTTCCATATGTACATATTTTAAGTTAACATTTCTTAAGTTGTGTGTGAGGTTTACATTTCCATCATAATAGTCAGGAATTTGTCATATGTTTTTGTATGTTGTGCTTCTGCAATATGAAATAGGTCCCGTCACCTCTTATCAAGTATCTTTTCTCCTTCTGTTTGGATATTCCACCAAACAGGCAAGGTTGGCCTTACAAGTTTTGTTGAAGCAACCCACCTCTTACGTGAACTGAATTGTGCTGGTGATGGTGTTAAACATTTGCAGTGAAAAATGAATAAAATGGACCATTTTTCAAAATCAATCTATAAACCCATCACAACACAATATCATCGGTGGAGCATGTCATAAACTGATAAAGTTTTGTGATATCGGAGTTACTTTTACATTTGAAAGACTTCCTTTTCTATAAAGTAAACAAGATCTAACACCTAGCCTTTTCGGATAAGGGTGAAAAATCTTGGAGGTTCTGTGTACAAGCTACACCCGTTAAAGATCCCTTGGTGGTCCAAAATCTATAAGAGTAAACTTCGGACGCCACCCTGGCAAATTTTAAAGTTAATTCCTTCCAAAATGAAAATGTTTAATGTGTCCTGAGTGCTTATATGACCGTATGCAGTTAAGTTATGAGCGCTGTAAAACACTTTCCCCCCCAAAAAGTGAATTTGGCTTCATTCACAGTGCCACGGAACTATATTTGTGAATCTCTCAAACTTGATTCTAGAATTTTAGTTGAAAAGAATATTTAAATTGTTCATCCTTTTTCTCAATATCATTGGTGGGTGCTCTTATGTGGCCGATTCCTTCTATTTTTTCGACACCATTATCCTGATCTGCATCTTAGAAAAAAAAATCTAACTACGGTCATGGGGTCTTGCTTTAATAACTCAACTTGTCTTGTCTCCTCACAGAGCTGGAGTGGATGCTAGCACAGGTGGGAGCCGTGGAGTCGGATATTGAGAAGCCCGAGCGGCCCGAGGTGAAGGATGTCATGAATATGGCCATCAGACAAAGCAGGATAGACAATGAGGATGACGACGATAGTGACTGATGTGGTGTGAACGTATCGTCTAATGTGTGTGTGTGAGTGTGTGCCTTTCCTGTGCATGAATCCATCTTTCGCTGTGTGTGGTCTCTCAAAGGAAATAAGTATGGCTTAGACCGCAGAAGTTTAAAGTGCATTAGTTTGCGTATATTTATTATTATTGAGGTCATATATTCTTCTTTTCGGCTGTGTTAATCTACTGGTCATATTTTTTTTCTATCACTTGTAATATGTTGCAAGGAAAAGATGAATCCTAGTTTGTGTTCTACACTTTACGTAGACTACATTTGATAAAATAAGCGTTGAAGGAAATGTAGAGATGTTTGTGTTTCTTTGTCAGTGATACATAACCTGGAACGCAGGTTGGTCTGTTGCAGCAATTTCACATCTTTGTCTTGATTTTTTTAAGTTGTTTTTTTTTTCTTGCTAATATGGCAAGTGTTTTTGTTTTTTTAGAGTCTGGTCATAGTGTATACAGAGGATGCAATTGGATGCATGCACATTGATACACTGTATTAGCTATTTTTACGCAACTTTTAACATGAAAGAAATGCAGAGAACTCTCTATGGGAACCCACAAGAAATGGTTGCTCTTCATGTCTCACTGACACTTAATGTGAACAAAAGCTCTGTTATTAGCGTGCCATTAGTTCAGTTGATGTCGTGCTGGACTATGGTATGGATGGCCCTGGATCAAATCCTAGCAAACCCCAATATGGCATTCTTGAACTTGGATTGTTTGGGAAATTTTCAGTACTGTTCAGTTCTTGCTTCAGTCCTTTTGAAGATGTGGGTGTTAATGTGTAGAGGTCCCAGCTCTAGAATAACATTACTATAGACTGTTTGATATTCCTGTCGCCAGAAAAGGATTTCAAACGTTCTGATATGCTTCCCTTGTATATGTGAGGCAGCGTGGTGGAATCAGGCTCTCGTCAATTTTTTGGGCATGTAGAGTTATTTGTATCATCTTAAAGCTTGTTCACTGGTATTTATTTGGATGAAAAAAACATCCATTTATCTTGAATACAAGTCGAGATATTTGCGAAAGAAGGAGGTGGGGGTCACCTGTTTTCAGAGGTAAAATTAGTGAGAAAATGCCCGCCAAAGATTAGTTATTTCCTAAGCTTAAGAGTCCGTGGTAACTGAACATTAACATTTTTGTTTCTTTAATCAACGCTTTCCCGAAAAATCCACACAGAAATGAGTTCTTTAATGGTCAGGGAAGGTGTTGAGCCAAAAACCAAAAATTTGATAAAAATTTGCAAACCTGCGGAAAAATGCCAGTCTCTTCACTTTGATTATTTTGACGAGAGCCTGATTCCACCACGCTGCCTAACATATTTCTATGCATTGCAATTTTCCTTGACAACAGCAATCTGCTAATCAACAAGAAATTCTCTGGCCCCGTGAAGTTCATGTTTGCAGAGTTTTACTGTACTTTATTTAGAAGAAAGGATATTACATGACAATGTTTTCTTACAACTGCCTTCCTTTACCGATCATGATTTTGCCTGACTCTTATTGATTATCAGGGAATGGTTAATTGTACTGGTTATTTTGTACAAGGGATAACTGTGCGTAGATCTGAGAGTGTTGGAGAATACATGTATTTTGTATGTGTAGTGTGTGTGAGAATGTGCATGCGTACGCATGTATGTGTGTGATTGTGTGCTTACACATGTGTGTGTGTGTCAGAAAAAATGAGAGTTTGCATATTTATACTTTTGATGTCAGTGAAGTCTGTCTGATAGGTTTTCAAAATTAGTACCCCATACACATTATACAGAACACATTGTTCTTCTTTTTAGTGCAGTTGCAGTTAAAATAGTTTTAAGAAGATTGCAATGAAGCAGATCATGAATTGTATATGTAAAAAGATGTGGAATAAAATTCTCTTTTAATGCTTCTGTAAACCATTGTTTTGCTTAAACATTTTGTCTGTGTGAGTGCTTGGTGTTCTTCTGTGTTTTCTTGTCAAGTCCACTCTTATTGAAGATTGCAAATAGAGATTAGATTAGATAGGACACATCTTTATTGTCCAGATCCTGGCATGTACACACAAACACAAACACACACAAACATGTGTACACGTGCATTCGCACGAACATGTGCACACCCATATAAACACACACTCTTCCCTCACACATCCTTTCTTCCTCACACACCGGTGCTCATAGCCAAACTAGTGTTCGCGGTTGGTTGGCGGGTGCTCTAGTGTGGTTTGCTTCTTCTTTCCTATCAGACTTTTATCATCTTTATCTCCCCTCCTTTTTTGTGATTGTTACTTTCTTGTAACACCTCTAATCATCCGGGCTAATCCCGCGGGGCAGTGCCACTGACTGTAGTGTCTCTAGACCATTCCCAAAGGGGGGACATTTCTCGTCCAAGCACGGTAGAATTGTAAATGGGCTGATTCATGTCACGCTCATAACTGTGCCTGATCTACAACAGGGAACTGCTGCTTTTTCTTTCCCAATCCTTACTATTGTCATTTTCCTCTACTTCTTTTGTATGTTTGTCACACTCTTGTGACCTTCCATTTCCGGGGTGCCTTGATAGTTGAAGCAGACCTTGTGCTGTTGAAGCTAGAGAGGTGAACAGAGTAAGTCTCATTCCCTGTAAAGACTTCTCTGTTGACAACCACCCCTTGGCGCTCATATGACCTTATGCAGTTACGAGCGCCGTAAAACCCTCTACTATAATTTTTTTTAAACCAACTAATCCTCGGCACTTTTATGACCTCGTTGTATTGTGCTGCAAGTGCCATAAAACACTTACGAAAACTAAAAAACTGGTATGCTTGCACTCACAAACAGGCTCACAGTCACATGCATAATATAAATAAATAGTAATATAAAACATTAATTAATACCGTTAGTGTTAAGCTAGATACGTACTCTTTTTTCTGATTATCTTCAATGGTATTCTGATGCACGCTTTAATAAAGGTCATATGAATACTTACAACAAGATCATGTAATAAGTATTCATATGACCTTTAAATCTAAAGTGTCTTCACTACATACACTCACTCAAGCAAACACACACATGATTACAGTGTAAATCAGGTGTCATGGCTTGTAAATGTTCTTTTTTTTTTTAATGTGTCCGTTTTTACACCTCATCGACACTGTTTTGATCATTTCGGTGGTGGACTTCCGACCCTGCCTGTCAGAGCCAACCCGGGACTAGAGTGGTGCAAGATCCCAGCAGAAAGACCGAGATACTTGATACAAATTTTCCCCACTTTAGAATCGAACTTGGGTCTCCCATGTCTGTGTGACGGCAACGCGCCTATCCACTACATCAAAGACGCCGGTGTAAGTGTTCTCATGTGCTGAAAAAGACTTTGAAACAAAACGATCTGCAACCCTTCTGTTCTTACCCTTTTTCATGGCATTAATAGTTTAGTGTTTATGCTACCCGGCTCGTGATCATGAGATTGCGAATTTAGGGGTTCGAGACTCAGCGTACTCCGATAATGTGTAGAGCGCAAGGCACCTTCCAGGAGTTTTCCCCTTTGGCTAATTTTTCAGAAGATGGATGTTAAATTTGGAGGTCCCGTCTCTTAAATAAGCTTACAGGGGGCGTTGAACCTAATCATTTTTGCATTTTTCTTTTCCTCTCTTCCTGTATGTAGTTGGTTTAGGGGTGATATTAGGCCCACTGCACACCCGAGGAAAAAACAGTCCCCACCCCCTTCCTCAAATTGGTCATCGGTGGAATATCACACGTCTACACTGTCCTCAGATGAGCACCTTATGGGATAATGCTTTTGCTTTATTCATATACTGTCATACATGTATATATTATATATATTTATATATCATACACTGACGTTTGAAAGGAACAGGACAGTGCAAAATAATTCCAAGTCAATAATATTGCCAAAGACGGCTACCCTTTGTCGAGGAGAAAAGTGGATGCCATGGACAGTGAAGAAAACGCAATGGTGAATGTGGGAATTGGTCGTTTGTAAGGGGATTGTCTTGGACCGGTGGCCGTTTGAGCTGGTTTGACTACATGTATCATTTTAAATGGAAACTGTTTTTTTTAGGCCACTGTTTTTGTGCCTTAATTATGACGTGAAAAACTTGGTCTTTTATGGACTTTGCTATCTGGCAGGAGATCGTATGTGATTGGAGACCATAACTTGTCTTTTTTAACTCGATAAAGACAGTAGATACTCTCCCCAATCGGGAATTGAACTCGGGTCTTCTGCATGAGACGGCACAGTTCCTCACTAACAGCTGCTCCACCGACGCTGGTGAAATTGGTGACGATGATGATGCTTCAGATGAAGACTTCGAGGCGAAACAGTAAACTGTTTTGGTAAAACCAATATCTTAAAAAATTCTTACCGAAAATTACCCAAAACTCTCATTCTCAGCTGTTTCTTTTTTTTTTTAAAGTTATTTTATTATGAAGATGATTATGATGAAAAACACATTACTAATTGTGAGGTCGACGACTTTGATAATTATGATGAGGATAACGATCCCACCACGTTTCTCAAGGTCTTCCTATAAGACTCCACAACGTCTCCACCTCCGCCTGCTTCACACGAATGGCTCTCTCCTCATCTGAGTGCCTGCTCGTGCGCGTCAAATTAAGCTGGGATCTTCACTATGCGTTTGTCAATAACATCGTTTTCTGGGCGGGTGGATGAAAGCAGCATACTGTACGTCTTGTAGATCGACGGAGATATCTATTCTGTTGCTAACTAGTAATTAACTCTTTGGTCCATCGACGTCTATTGTGTAGTACTGCGGTTTGGCGCTTCGCCGTCACACACAGATGATGTTAGTTCGATTTCTGTATGAAGAGGTTTAAGAAAAATTAAGTCTTTAATGTAACTCTCATTCTGGTCGCTTGAAAACGCGCTGTTTTGTAGTCTAACCCCTTCGTTACATGCCCTTTTTACAATACTGCATTCTTCATCCGAAACTTTAAAAAGCATGGAAATCCTCCTCCTCCTCCTCCCCCTCCTCCCCCTCCTCCTCTTCCTCCTCCTCCTCCTCCTCCTCCTCCTTCTCATCATCATCATCATCATCATCATCAATGCCTTTCTCACCCTGGATCAGAGTATAGGCCAAGAACAAACACTTTCCACTTTTCCCTATTCTGGGCTAGCCTTTTGATGTTCTATTTCCATGTCTTCCCACTTTTCTGTACATCGATTAAAAAAAAATTCTTCTCCAGGTTCCACGTGATCTTCCTCGTGAAACAACAAAATATACACAATGAAATATGCTAATTCGAGCGTCTGATTTGTGCCTGATTATTTGAAATATATCTCAACATATTTTCCTTTGGTCTTCTGGTGATCAGACATATTGTCATGTTCCCAAATGTAATTTATGGGGCTCCACTGGCTAAGTGAGTAATGATTTCAGAT